CTACTACCATGTTTTGTTGCCCCACTGATTTGCCTTTCCTTGCCCTGATGGTGGCACAAATGAGACATCAGGTGATGTCTGTTTCTGCTGGCAGGTTGGGCTGCAAGCCCTTCTGGCAAATGGACAGAAGTAGGAAAGCAGCACTCGCCTCTCACTTAAAAATCCAAAATTTGACCACTGCTTCTCCCACCACTGCTCTCTGCAGCATTTTTATAGTCATTACTTTGCTTTATCACAGTTGCCAGCTTGCCTTGTCTAAGACACGGCGCCTCTACCCAAGACTCCTGTGTTTCCACCAATTCTCTTCTCATATCAGGAAAATGGAGAAGTGAGGTGCACCTTAAGCACAGCTTCTAGCAGTGCTGTAGCAAAGTGGGGTTGGGGGGCAACAGGGTGACCACACTGGGTACCCAAGCAAAGGGGTGCCAACAGGCGCCGCGCAGCTGGAACGGGGCGTGGGGTGGAGCTGCGAGAGGCTTGTTTGGAGGAGTATGGGGATGGGAGTAGGGCAGCTCCCACTACTGTGTGCACTCCTGGGCAAGCATTGGGGGGGCATGTGTGTGGGGTGAGGGTGGGTTGCGGCTGCAGGCTTTCCCCCAGGCGCCAAACTTTGTTGCTATGGCATTGGCTCCTAGCATGATGGTTCTCAGCTGAGCTGCCACAGCACCCTTGGGTGACTCAGGATCCTTTCAGGACAGCCACAGGGTTCCATGCACCATTAGCACTGTTAGGTGTGCAGGCATGCTTCACATAATAGACCAGAGCTAGGGACAGATGTTCAAAAAGTCTGAGCCTGAATTGATTGAATCTTTGCAGGTTAGTCTAACCTGCAATGCTTGAACCAATTTGGAGGTGGATAGACCATAGGTGACACAGGGGGGCACATTCCTCCCCCACCCTCAAATTGGTCCTTGCCGGTCGGGGAGTAGGGAGCATCAGCAGGTGCCCCCCCGTGAAGTGCTGGCAGCACTTCCAGTTTGCCGCCGGGGCTTCCAGCAGAGTGTTTATCCACCAATTAAGAAAACAAAAACTTCTCTCATTAGTTCCTCTTCTTAAACGACTTTTTCCAAGGAAGGAAGGAGGAACATTACCAGCTACTTGCTGATTAGCTCCAAAAAGCCCCAAGCCGACACAGTCCTGCCTTTGTCCTGTCTCCTGCATCATGGACCATAGCTAACACGTGGTCTGCTAGCTAATGCTGAGAGGTGTCTGTGTAGGGCCGAAGGGAGGGGGAGGGTGGAGCAGGAGGAAGCCAGGAAGACACCAGTGCAGGAGCAGTTTCTGCCAGAGCTGCAGCCAGGAAGCAGAGGGGAGGGGCCGGCTCAGCTCTCTGAAGCAGAGAGCCTCACGCAGTCCAGAGAGCATGGCGGGATGCTGGAGGACTGATTTAACTTAAACCGGGAAGGAGTCTGGGGCAGATGTTGCATAAACCGGTTTGAACCAAATCAGTTGAGTCTGATACTACATTCAACCAGGTCTATCTCAAACCAGTTTCAGCCATTTTCAAACTGGTTTATGTGCATTGAACATCTGTTCTATTTCAGGTTTAAACCAATTTCTGACCGCTTAAACCAGTTTGTGTGTAATGTCTGTCCCTAGCCCTAGAGGGTTCATATTTGAGTACATAGTGTTAGAAGCATTCGGACCCACTATGAGCTCTTATTTTTCCATAGTCAAAAACAGAGTGAGAAGTAAGGGGTGGCATTGTCTAAGAGGTGCCTTGAGTCTACAGAGGTTGGGAACCACCGTTGTAGTGCAGTGAGTGGCAAAGATATCAGCCCACAGGCATTCACAATTTTTTTTCTTCTTTTTTTCACTGAAAACAGCCAAATAAGACGTACATTTTTCACCTATGCTAAAGCAAAAATCAGGCAAAAGTTGCAAAAGGAGGCTGTAAAAATAAAATCATGTGACTATTTAAGACAAATTTTCTTTGGCCGTGCTTGAATCTCTCATATATTTGCTTTTCACAAGCATTCGTGCAATCAAGTTACATTGGCACAAAACTTTTTGCACAAAGCACATTTCAAAATTTCACATGCAAGTATTTGTAGAGATTCTTTTGGAGTCTTGCTGAAATCTGATTTACCTGACAAGTCAGAGAGAAGCAACTCAGATTCCCAGTGAACCAATGTTCAACTTAAATTGACAGACCTGCAGAAACCTAAAAAAGACCCTTCCCCAAAACTTTTCTTGCCTAATTTGAGCAACATCCCAAGAGCAGAAAACACAGGCTTAGTTCAGGTAAGTTATTTGTTGTAAGCTAACTCAGTTCTAGTAAAAACTAGAAGTTTTTTTCTTTAAACTCGCTCCACCAATATTAACCAGGAATAAAAAGACTATTGGCTAAAGACCAGAATCACTATTTATGATACATTAGTGAACAGCTAAGGATAAGTCAAGGGATTCTCAAGACCCACTCTTCAAATGGAGTCAGTCTGTCTCCTGCATCGCAAGATGGGTGGCAGTGAGGTGGCGGCAGAGGCTACCGACTAAAAGAAGGGCAGAGGCCAAAGAGGCAGGGAAAACTGTGGTTTAACTCAGCAAAAGCCTCTCTTGAAATTAAACTCTGTCCTCTGGCAGAAGGATCCTCTCTCCAAGCTCCTCTTACCCTCCTCCACAGCAAGCTGCCACTGGCTTCCCAGCCACAGCTGTGCTCTGACCCTGCTGCTGGGGGGTCACAGCGCACAGAAGGGGAGCGAATGCTACTGCAAGAAGCAATAATGAATCCTTTTTGACACACTACTTGAGCCGTATTGGAGAGGAACGTTGCACTAAGAATGGCTGTTTGGTGATTCCGCCACCCCCACAGTCCATCTGCTGCATGGAGTTTATGCCGAGGGACTGGTGGCAGCTTTGAGGAGGGGGGCTGTGTTTCCCATCCAGACGGCTTCCCTTCCCACCACACGTTCGGGCGCACATAGAAGAAACTGGCTTCTCAGATGAATGGGTACCAGACTGAACAAGACAGTTAAAGATAGCTACAAGTGTTACCAGGACAGACCTCTACCATATGCTGCGGATCCTCTTTGAAAAAAATTAGCAATAAAGATATATGAATCGCTTTTTTTAGGTTAGATGTGGAAGTGACTTATTAGGGGGTAGCATACAGTAATCTTTTCAGTGGTACTAATCAACTGTGGGCTGAGAATATTGTAACTTGCCAAATGTTTAACTATTATGGAAGTTGGGTTTTCTGTTTGGCCAAAATTAAGACAATCTTCCAGAGAAATATGCGCTGTTGACATTGGTCTTTATTCATACCTCTTGGGACAGGTAGGACATTACTTCAAATAATATATTTCCTGATGTTCAACGCTGTTTTCCACCATCACTGTAAGACATGATAGCAGGCCTGTACTTTGTGATGCATTGAGTAATTAATCTTATATACCTGACTAGATTATAGGTTATATTTTATTTATTTGTTTAAACCTGGTTTTCTTTTGCTACTGCTGTAAATGAGTGCTGATGTTTTAAGCAAAGGTTGACGAGAGGTCTACGCATGCTGTGACAGATCTATGAGAATCATTAACACAACCCTGTTTAATGGATAAACGTAAGACAAAAGCTGATACATGTAGTTTATGACATAAGTCTGTCATCTAAAATCAACAGCAGCTTTTAGAAGAAGCTACTATGGAAGGCAGATTTCACAGATCATTATATAACACGTCCAACAAGCAAGAAAAAGTGACAAAAATCATTGCAGATCAAGTAATATGCTAAAAAAGTGGAAACCAATTTAACTTACTAGTTTTTATGGCTGATAAACAGCTGTACATGTAGCTCACCTATTTTAAAACAGATCAGAAATATTCAGTTTATATCCATTTACTGCACTTTATTAAGGCTTGTGTTTGAATGCAGGTCTCAAAAGGGGTCATTGTTCACATTTTGAAAATGTGTTAGTTTTCCTGCTGTATCTTGAACTACTTAAAAAGCAACTGAAATGTTCAATGAGCAAATGCAGTCTTTCAGTTGGACTGTACTTGATCAAGATGGTATCTGTCCATACTGCAGCATCATTTTTGTCCTTGCAGCAAATGCCACAGGAACTTTGATGACACAAAATGGTCAGGAACTCAACTGAACATCTTCAGCAGCCTCTTGACCTCAGTACTAGGAGAGACACCGGTTCATGAATGTAAGTAGAAAGAACACCTCTAACCAAGTAGTAACTACTTCTTGGAGCACTTAAGTTTTCCAGTCGTCTCCCATACAACTACTATTTAAGCCTAAAACCTTTACGTGTGCCAAGATCATACTATAAGGTGTTATAGCTACAATATTTGACAGAATTGTTATATTTTGCTACAAGTTCCATTGTTTAAAGGAGCGTTAGAAAGTACATATTTCTTTCAAGCAAGAAGTGAACAGAAGAAGAACATGCAAATTATGTAACTTTTAAAAACAAAGTTTCAGCTATGCATCAACTGACTTTTTAAAAAAAATCATTTGAAGCTCTGAAAGAACAATACAGGAAAGTTAATTTGGTCTCAATACCTAGAAGAGGCAAGCCAGAGAGATGTTACATGTCTGTCAAGAGTCACAGAAGTAGCTCCTGACCGATCCAAAAAGAAAAATCTGGCCTTTTGATGCACAGTTTTCTGCTTGAATTACAAGATTCTCTTTGCTCCTACTAGTTTAGTGGAGTTATGATTAATAATTTAAACATTACAAGGACAACACAGTGCACTGCACAAACACTGCATATTATGTGTATAAGAAAGCACCCTTGCTAATTCCAAGTTGGACTGTGAAACACTGCATTTTCTCATCTATATCATTCAGCTATACTTGTACATGGTAAAGGAAGTACTGTTCCTTTTAGAGGCTGTCACCTCTGATATAACAAACTATTCAACTTGACACTGCAAAATACCCAGTGTTACTGTGAATTTATCCCTGTATTTTGTCCTTTTTTTTTTTTTAAGCATTAATTTTTATGTCCCCATTTTATGGAGCCCTTATACCATTCAGTGATTTTTCTAATTGCCTCAACATTCAACAACTAATTTCAAAACTTTTCCGCACATAAGAGTTTGCAGTACCACAGACCTGCCACGCCTTTAAAAAGGTACTGTTTGAGATCTTCCCAAACCTGAAATTCAAGAGAGTTTAATCTAACTTTAGAATAGAAATTTGTCTAAAACTTGGCCTGTGACCAATGACTGCAAAGTAAATTTAGGTTTAAAATATTGAATTGATTATAAAGCCTGAATGCTCACCATTATGCATGCACTTTCCTGCTAGCCATACACTGAAAAGGCGCTATCAAATATAGCGTATACAATGTCTTCAAAATGATGTTTTTTGCAAGTGCTCCTATTCTTGCTAGTTTATGAATTTGATTATTTTCATTTGAATTTTCCATACAATGAGGAACTTTCTCTGCCTTCATATTAATCAAGGATCAACATTTACAAACACTGCACATGTACACTTGAAACACTGCAAAACAACTCATAGAAACAAGGAATTCTTATTCCCAACACCTTAACAAAGCTCCTATCGAGGTCAGTGGGAATTTTGCCTAACTAAGGAATGCCTTACATCATTCATATGCTAGATCCAGCCCATTAGCTAAGGAAGGGACATCAGAGTTAACTGAGGAAAGAACAAGACTAAGGTTCAGGTATCTTCTGTTGGCTTTAGAGGAACAAGGGGCTGGGCCGGGCACCAGTTCATGGCCCAGAGGTTGCAAGTTTGAGGCCATACTGGATGTATTCATGGCACAGCCTGTCAGCTTCCAATTAAATCTGCAAATTCTGCTAAATACCTTGCCCTAAAGACATGAAAAAGGAAAGTCCTGCCTGACGAACCTGATTGCATTCTGGCTGCATGAGATGACTGGCCCTGTGGGTACAGGAAAAGCAGTGGATGTGGTATCACCTGACTTTAGCAAGACTTTTGATACAGTCTCCCGCAACATTCTTGCAAGCAAGCTAAGGATGCAGGGTTTGGATGAAGGCACTGTAAGGTGGAGAGAAAACTGGATGGATCATCAAAGGGTAGTAATCAATGGCTCAATGTCTAGTTGGCAGCCTCTATCAAGGGGAGTGCCCCAGGGGTTGGTCCTGGGGCTGGTTTTGTTCAATGTCTTCATTGACGAGCTGGAAGATGGGATGGAGTGCACCCTCAGCAAGTTTGCAGATGACACCATCTGCTGTGGGGAGTAGTCGATATGCTGGAGGGTAGGGCTAAGATTTAGAGCAGGGGTGGGCAAAATGTGGCCCGGGGCCTGATGCAGCCCACCAGGCTATTCTAGCCAGCCCACGCCTCCCCCCCCGCCAATTAATATTTATCTGCCCCTGGCTGCCTGTTACGCAGCCCTCGATGGCTTGCCAAAACTCAGTAAACAGCCCTCTACCCGAAATAATTGGCTGTCCCTGATTTAGAGAGACCTCAACGAATTGGAGGATTGGACCAAAAGAAATCTCATGGGCCGCATCCACATGCGGTGTGGATGTTTGGTTCCCTGGGGACAACTAGTGACTGCACCTTGCACCACAGCTAGTTGTCCCTGGGGAATGTCCGTGGCACAGGCACTCAGATGCATGGCGAGTTACCCCAGGGGCAGTAGGGTAAGCTGGGACCAGCACTGGGCTCCTGGGGGCCTCCTAGGGTTGCAGCAGTGGCGATTCTGCTGTGCAGAGCCTGGCCAGCAGTCGCAGCACTTCTCCAGGCAGCCTGGTTTTGCTTTTGAGCAGTAATCACTGCCTATGAGTGCACGTTGCTCCGCTTTTTTTCTCTGAGGGTTTTTTTGACCACTGGATATCAAAAAGCCCTGTGCACTGCTTCCCTGCAGCATGGAGAACAGCTGAATGCGTGGTATGTGGTGCCACAGGTGCATCTGTGGTACCACATACACAGCTGCACTTGTCTGGATGTGGCCAGGAGGTTCAATAAGAAGTGTAAAGTCCTGCACTTAGGACAGAACAATTTCATATACTGATAGTCTGGGGATCAACTGACTAAGCAGCAGCTCTGTAGAAAAGGACCTGGGAGTTGCAGTGGGCGGTAAACTGAGCCAACAGTGTGCCCTTGTTGCACAGAAGGCCAGCAGCATACGGGGCTCCATTATTAGGAGCACTGCACCAGATTGAGGGAAATGATTCTTTCCCTCTATGCAGCACTGGTGAAGCCACATCTGGAGTAACCCCCCTACTACAGAAATGATGTGGACAAATTGGAGAGAGTCCAGCGCAAGGCAACAAAAATGGTTAGGGGGCTAGGGCAAATGACTCTTGAGGAAAGGCTGAGGGAACTGGGTTTATTTAATCTGGAGAAGAGAAGCCCGAGAAGGGATTTAATAGCAACTTTCAAGAACCTGAAGTGGGTGGGGATGTTCAAAGAGGATGGAGCTAGGCTGTTCTCAGTGGTGGCAGATGACAGAACAAGGAACAATGGTCTCAAGTTGCAGCAAGGGGAGTTTAGATTAAATATTAAGAAAAACTCTCTTATGAGGAGGGTAGTAAAGCACTGGAACAGATTAGCCAGAGAGGTTGTAGAATCTCCATCCTTGGAGGTTTTTAAGACCTGGCTAGGATGATCTAGGTGGTCATGGTCCTGCTTTGAGCAAGGGGTTGGACTACATGACCTCCTCAGGTCCCATCCAACCCTCATTTTCTATGGAGCTGACTGCACACAAATGGTAGCTTGACATCTTAGTAAAAGTTTGTTTTCTGATCTATAAAGAATCATTAAGTTGGGGTCTCTTACTCCTTCAGCAGACACTTGCATCAAATGCAAAGTCCTCTAAATAACAATAGGATGGAAGGTTTGCAATAAGGTTTAGAAGAGACAGAATCAGACTACTGAGATTTTTGTTGGTATGGAACTAGCACATTTTATTTAATCACAGAAAGTGTTAAAACCAAGTCTTAATGTTTAGCCAGGCTTTAATACCTTTATCACTGTAGCAGGCACATTGAGTTGTGCAAAGGCTCTTAGCCATAGTCCATGACTTCCCAGAACTACATAATAAAATTGAACAGAACGACTTCTGTGGCACCGGGAGATGTGAGCGCCAATTGGTGCACTAGGTGAGCAAGGCACAAGTTCCCTTATAAAGAATGTGCCTGGCATAGTGCCAGGGGAATTAGCGTACCATCTAAGGAATGCTTGGCAGTGTCAGGGGATAGGACAATGTGGTATGAAAAGGTTGTAAAAAATGGTTAACAGAAGGGAAGGTGTGACAGCACGCAGTGAACCTGGAAAAAAAAAAAAAAGAGAGACAGCTGCTGCATCTCTGCTTAGCCTCTTGTAGCCCAAGATCAAGTCGGGGCAGCCGAATACCAAGACCTCCAGGCTTGGGCCTGCACATAGGATGCCTGCCAATAGATTTGGGAGTACCTGAAGACCCAGGGTGAAAGCCTGGGATGGGAGATGCTCACCAGTTGTAGCACCATACATGGTGTTTAGAATGATTGAGCAGGCAGAACTCAATCAATATCTGTTTTAGAACAATTCAGTTCTGCTTAATTGATACAATTTGGAACCGATTTGGCCAATTTGACTTGAAACATGAAATATGAATTAAAAAAAAATATCCGCTGGACAAACACAGAGAAGCCATAGACATCACACACCCAGTGGAAGATCCAAGGCACTGTACCCCTGACAGTCACTGCTGAGAATCCTACAGAGTCACTTGTCAGGTTGTATTACAGGGAGGAAACCTGTAATATTGTGTAAGTGTTACTATTAAAGTTCACTTGATACTAAATCAGATGAGTTGCCAAGTCACTCTTTAGGGCTCTGGCAAAAAGAAATTCTCTTAGTAACAATCATCAGTCATACTTTCAAACATTGCACAATTCCACTCATGAGCTTTGGGGGGGTGGGGGGGAAGTGGGGTGCAGAGAGGACAATAGAAGTTCTCTTTATGAAAAAAGCATTTTTTTCCAGATGCCAGTACCTCTTTGGAAACTATGAAGCATATGTGTGTATGGCAGAATGGGAGCTAGGTTCTCCCTTCTGCTGTCTACTGAGCAGTTGATGCAATCTCTTTATAGGGCAATTATACCTTGTAATTCTCTCAAGTCTCTGGATATTCTTGCAGTTTTTTCGACTGTGTGCAGCCATCTTATTCTTAGCCACTACTGTCATGGTCTAGGCTCCAATTATCTGTATGTGAACATACATTTATGAATAACTCTACAGAAGGCTCTTGAACTGACAGGGAGACTTAGGCTGACCCTGTTCCACGCTAACCCAGTCTGGATCACTGCTTGGCTTTGTGTAAGCGAAACCTGATAGTTTGTGCTCAGCCTTCTTTCTGCATACCCAGGCTATTTCCTACTTTGGTTCGTCAGTGTCCTTCGATCCCAATGCTGTTAACGTTCCTTATAGGCCTCTACTGTTATCAGTTCTAGCTGCTTCACCATTTCCTTGGTCTAGATTACAAAGCTGACCCACTCCAGAAGCCTTCTTTTTACTAGGGTCTGTCCAGGAAACAAGTCTACAGGCCCAAGAGACTCCAAACTTTCTGGATTCCCAGCTCAGACTGATACTCACTTCCTGGCCTGTAGCCCTTCTGGTCCCTGGAATGGGGTCAGCTAAAACTGGTCAGTCACTAGTCCTGATCAGTCTTTCTTGCTCAGCTGCTGCAAGTAGTCTTTACTTGCCTTTATCCTGTGCAATGTTTACAAGCCTCATCACATTGTGCTTCTAGTTTACACAGTCCTGATTTTGTTACACTTTTTGCATTACATTTCGTGCAGGCAAATAATGGATCTTGTTTCAACCAATTTTTTCTTCCATTGTGTCTAGTTGTAAAGGAAATGACAGACAGACAGACAGACAGACAGACAGACAGACAGACAGACAGACAGACAGACAGACAGACAGACAGACAGACAGACAGACAGACTTTTTCACTGTGGTTTTACTACTAAAAACACAAGGCATACAAGCGTCAGTTATTGGGAACTTTTCAAGTACTTTCAGAACTATCTGTAACGTAAAAAAGTGTTAAAATGAAGTTTACCTTGATTTACATTTGTTAAACATCTGACTTCAAAAACAACGTACAGACAAGCTGGAGAACAAACAATTCCTTTAAGTTTGAAGATTCCCATATAAAACACTAACCTTTTGAAGAATGCAAGTCACAGTTGACTAAACCTATCACTGCATCTCTGGAAAGGCACTTTTAGCCCAGACCAGATATGCTCCATTTTCTGTTTGCTTCTTGATACAAGTCATTGTTCAGCTCAGTCTGGATTCCTGTGCTTTTACTAAGTACCTGAAAATTAGGATAAAACTAAGCAGCAGGGGGTGCAACAGTCAAGCTTATCTGAAGAACATCAGATTTGGAGCTATTTGCTTCAAAGTCTTCAGACTTACTTTGAGCTAAGGCTAGAGCTAAGCACTGGCATTTGGACCAGCTGTCTAGTGGCTCAGCCACAATATAGATTGCCATATTACAGTTTGTAGAGAAAAGATAAGCCTAGAATTCATCAAGAGTCTGCTAAAAGACAATGATGGGATGTCACAAAATGCGTTTACAATACCTGAATGTTCCTTCTTAGCTTCCACATTTACATGAAGAAGTCTTCTTTCCACAAGTGCAATTAACATGTCTAACCAGCTGTGCTTTACTCCTGTGCAAAATCTATTGGGGTTGATCAGCTTAGTTCAGGGGTGGCCAGCCTGTGACACATACCACAAATGGCATAGAAATCCTATATGGGGCAGACTAGGGAGGGGACAGGCAGCATAGTGACAAATGGGGCAGGAAACAAGAAGCAGAGCAGCAGATTGGGCAGGAATTACAGGACAGGGAGCCAAAGGCAAAGCAGCACACCTGCCCAAACAGGTGTCTCCCACTGGTTTAGTCCTCTTTTACTCCTCTTGAATATGGACTAAGCCAAGCTTCTCTAAAGTTTACCATTCTTGACTTGGGGGTCTCCAGGTGTCTGGATACGTCTAGTCATTAACACCCAGAATGAGAAGTTTTTAAGTTGGCCATATATTAAGTGCAGCCTGAAGTTTCAACTGATCTGGCTCTATCTAGGGCATGAGCTTGCCATACTAGCCTGTAAGGAAGGGGTTGTCAACTGGGGGTTCACCTACCCCCAAGGGTACTTGATAAGACCGTAGGGGGTATGTGTAGGTAGGTGGGGACAGAGCACCACTACATTATCCTGCACTGCCACGCAGGTGCCGCCTGCCCAACCAGATGCAGGGGGTACAGGAAGCTCACGTAGTGGCTGCCACCACTCCGTCCAGCCATGCCCTCCCTCCCCCTAACCCCACCCCTGCTGTAAGGGATTGTATTTAACTGCTGTCTCTTCTCTTGGAAGTAGTACTGAAATAATCAAATGGGCTAGAGAATGAATGGAGTTTTTATTTATAGCAAAAGAGGAGGAATATAATAGGCATATGGAAGCCACCTTAGTCTGAGGGTCAAAGAGACACACCAATAATGCAACAGAACAACCTAGTGGGAACTTGTGGGGAAGACTAGCGCTCAAAAACAAAGGGGTACCCACAGAAGAGCGATGCTCAGACCATGTCTGAGCCACATGTGGCTCAAGTTTGCATCTGTGGCATGGAAAGAACATTATCAAAATGCATCTTACTGCATACTTTTGGGTATGTTTCCTGCCATCAATAAGCACTAGCAAGGTTTATCACTTGTAACATTAATTTAGTGGAGCCTTTTCTTTTAAACTGGAATATGCTTGCTGCAGTGTATTTAGGAATGTACACGTTGCATGGGCCCTTCAGTGAATGCCGAATGCTCACTAGTGAGATAGTCAGGATTAACTGTCACTGCTATAAGTAATTGTATGAATTAGCCATATGCATTATCATCAAATATCAGCCAAGCTCCAGGACATCAGGCATGCAACAGTGCACATGCAAAACATTTTCCAGAGTTTGTCAAAAAACTCAACAACTCCATAAACTTACGCTAGCTAGCCTAAACAGTATCCTTGCTGTTAAACCAAGATTCTCCACTTCTTAATCTAATAACCAGGCCCTATTGCCCAGAAGAGCAATTTATTCTTCCAATTTACAAGACACAGCTGCCAAGTGTTTAGTTTACCCATGATACATTTCTATGTATTTGTGTACTTGCACATTGTCTCTACAGTGATGGACCCAAGATGACCAGAAGTCACCATTAACCAGTTTATCTTTCCCATACATAAATTGATGCAGACTAAGATGAACTCTTAAAAATCTAGCCCTAGTCCAATTCACAATTTCCATCTGCCAAAGATGAAAGTGAAATGCAATTTGAACAAAAACTTGAACTAATCAGTGCTTCCTAAACTTTTCCTCAGCATGACCCCTTACTCCCAATCTGCCGCCCCCCCACCTCCCAGGTGCCCTCACTCCCCATCCACAGCCCCCTAGCCCTGCCAGTGCCAGCCACCCTCCCAGTCCTACTGGTGCCCCGCACTCAAAATTGGCAGCACCCTCCCCGCTTCTAGTCCTGCCCCCTGCTGCCAGGGCTACAGGACCAAGGCATCACTGGATTTTACGAAAGATCACTGTTGATGCTTCAAGTAAACACTAATTGCAAGACAAAACATTTTAAAACTGTCTTTAAAACAAAAACCTATAACAGGAGGAGAAAGAGAAGGAAAGACGATGACAGGTGTATTTTGCTTACCAAGGATTACCTACTGCATCACTGGCTCTTATCTTGCTGATGCAATACAGTATTCTCTCACATATAAAACGTGCACCTTTTTCCAAAAAAGAGCTGTTGGAAATCAGTGCTTATAGTGCTCATATGCGAGTAAATATGGGAGAGCACTTTCTGCCATTTACAAGGAAAGATTCCCCCCACTTCATCCAGCTTTTGAAAAAAAAGTTCTTCTGGAGTGCATTGTATAGAAATGAAATTTCCTAATTTAGAAATTCCTAAATAGTCATGCTATTATTCTGTCCAGTACTTTTTTTTTTGTTTCAGTCTCACTGCATCATATGCATTTTCCTTGCACATTTTCATGTGGTATGTCACCCTGCTAATTTAAGATAAACTTGCTATTAGCTTAGTTATAGAAGTAATGTTTTACAGCTAAGCAAATAAAGGTCACTTCATGTCCAAGTTTAATACAAAAAATATTTTAAAAGTTCACAAAAATCTCACTTATACAAACTGCAGTTTGACACATAACGGAGTTAAATATGCAGCTATCTACCAAGTTTAGAAAACTTAATTATGCAATGCTATTTTTCAACCAGCTGTTTCAAAAACACTTACAGTAAGTTAAAAAGACAGACATTTATTTGTTTATAGGTTAACTTGTGGAAGCAAGGAACCAGAATGTACCTAGAACTAACTACTTAGGGATTTGCGAATCCTAAAGAGAAATGTGAAGTAGGTAAGGTCACCTACAGGAAGGCAAAACATTTGTTAAATGCAAAGTTTATTCCTTTCACAATGTGGTTGGTCCCTTGATACACTTCCATAGAAACAACCTAACTATCTGCAATCTCTGCTCCCCAGGCAGCCAATGTCAAAAGGTTCCAGCAATAAAATAGCTCTTAAAAAAGAAGTCGCGTTATAGTAAATTCATATATGTTATTTGATCCACCTCCAAAAGTGGACATTAGAAACAAAATGAATTACACACTCTAAAACGAATGTGTGACCATCCTTAAAGAAAGGAAATGCAATTCAATGTTCCATATACCGCTTGTTATTCAAAAAAATAAGCTGACCAGAAAACCTTGGTAAGAGTGGAGCATGCTAATTTAGACAAGACATTAGAACACACTAGTAGATATTTCAAGGCCCCTAGCAACACTTTTTATAGTAATTAGTGCAAGATAGTTTTCCCACAAACAAATATTTGATGGTAGACTTCAGTGATAAACAATTCACTTGATGACATTTACATATAAATACACATAAATAAAAACCCTACATAATTTAGGTTTGAAGATAACAAAAACATGGTTTGGACTGAATTAAATGTAATTGCATGTAGCTGGATCAGGGCTCTCCCTGTAATGACACTCAAGTATAAGTTGTATAAAAAGCATCATTGTACCATCCTCAGTTTAGTAAAGTACTACTCTATAAAAACAGAATCATGAAAACAGCGCTTACATTTTAATGTAAAGTATAAAATTGTATATTGATATTTACATACACTTTGCTGAGCTACATAAGGTAGCTCATGGTAAAAAAAACCAAATCCCTTCTTGAAAGTCTTTCAAAAATACATCAACTGCAAATATTTATGATCAAAAGTTACTAAATTAGCAGCTGATAGCACATCTGTAGTAAAAATATATTTTAGGAAAATAGCTGGAAAAAATCTAAATGTTGACAAATACTTTAAAATTATATTCAAAGAAACAAAACTGTTGGAAGAAGACAGAAGCAGCTAGCTAGGATAATGGTGACTACTGCACACTGCTCCGAAAGCCACGGGCAACAGCAGGTAGAACAAAGGAGGCAGACAAGGAGGGATTGAGGTGGTCCTAAAAAATAGGAAGTGTTAGTCCAAAAGTCAGGAGGTAAAAGAAAAATCCGGTTACCCAAACTCTGTATGACTCTCGATTTTTCTAGACTTGGGGTGGGGGGGTGGAGATGATGATGGAAACAACACTCTTAATGAACAAGCACTCTTCAAAAGCTACAAAGTGGGCAAGGGAGTCCAATCTGGAAAACCTTGGACTCCAACTTAAAAAAAAAACATTTACAGTATGTACTTACAGTTCAATGAACAGTTACCTAGAATTCTCACACTACAAACTGCATGTTAACTTTAAAAGTTAACAAAATTTTGCAATATGAAGTGCTCATATATATTTCTGTAAAATACATGTACAGATTTGCTTGAATAAACTATTGGGAAAAGTGTTTCTGTAAGTCCTTTACTTCCTTGAAGGAGCTCGCTCTCTGCTGCACAGGTAGTGGTTTCAAGATTCAACAAGAATTTCCACAATGTGGTCAAGCTCATTAAGATCGGATTTACAGTTAGAGTTAGAATTTGTGGTGGTCTGAGAAGGAAATGTTTCAAGTACATCACAGTGTCCCATTTTGGTGTTGCTCATCATTCCTGTTAACATTGTATCAAGGTCGTAGTAAGAATTGTCAACCTCTGAAAACAGATCTTCAACAGAATTTGGGCTTTTATTCTCTAATGTCTCAAATATTTGATCCAATGATTTTTGAAAATTTCCTCTATTTTCTTGTGGGTTCTCCATTTCCCACATGTTACTTTGCAGGTTCCTTGGAGCTTGTCCTGAAGAAACAGTTGACATAATTTCTGAACTATCTTGTGACTGGGTCTCCTCAAAGTCTTTAGGGAAGGTACTATAACCTGGACTGTGCTTTCCCTCAGTTTGTTCCCGGGATGAACGACATAGTATATCTGTTGAAACCAAGCGGTCTAGGGAAGCGTGCCCTGCATTCTGCGTATTTATCATCTGCCAAGTCCCATCTTGAGTCATTTCCTCTTGGATTTGCCGTACTGTATTGGCTATTAGTACCGAACGACAAAGATTAGGCTCAACCAGCATGTGGCACAGTTGAAGTTTTACCAAAGACATATCTAAAAGTGACTGTCGCTGAAGATTATATGAAGGAATAGCTTTAAAACCAGCCAGCGTCCCTTCAACATCTTCTTCACCATCAAAACATTTTCTTTTTAATCCTCGCACAAACATTGTGTCCTATTGAGGGGGCGGGGGGAAGAAAAAAAGAGGCTCTTTAACACAATGGAATGACCTAATAAGTTGGAAATCACAAGTAAAACTATGGCAAAAAAGTTTCAGAATCTTTCACTTGGAAAATAAAGCAAAGCAATAGTTAGAAACTTAAAAACATTAAAAAACTGTCATACGAGTTTACAGGTAAAGCCAATGTGGGACAAGAGATTTCTAAGGAAGGTA